CATCAGTATCTGGTTATACCAAGAGTATGCATTCTAAAAGTATGAATGTTTAAATCCATGTGAGTTTTCAAGGAGCTTATCAATGTTGGAAAGTGGGTATGAGTATTTCGAGCATGCCCTACTTAGATTTGAATAATCGACATACATGTGGCACTTCTTATTTGCTTTCCTCACTAATGCTACATTGGTGAGTAATTTTTTTATCTTTCCTTGGTTATGAATCAACCCTTTAGGAGTTTTTATATGACTTTCTTTGTGGCTTCAGCCTTTTTGGAGACTATTTTGGCATGCGTTGAAACATATAAGGTAAGTTGTCTCTGAGGGCCAAGATATGGAATTCTACCTCTGAATTGAAAACCAACATTTCCTTTTATAACCATGTAAATAGATCATGGATCTTTTGAAAACATCCCATCGACTCTTCGTGTGTAGGTTCGAGTAAATTGACCTCTATTGTGATGGATTTCCCTGGATCTCCTCTTATGTAGATGGTGGTGAAACCTCTGACTTGTTGGGCCTTATCCATCTTCTTTTGTGACTTCAGCTCCATCATATTATCGTCTCCCCATGTTTCACTTGGAAATTATTCTTCCAGTTGGGAATCCAACTTTAGTTCCCTTTCATCCTAGTATGGCATTTCTTCCATATTTGTTTTCTTTGTTAGAAAGGATAGAAAATGTAACACTGTAACTACATGTCTAGAATAATTATTACAATATTAATTTATGGTATTGGATACATCAATGTACACGTATGGAATTGGACCAGATAAAATTTTCACAATACCAACAAGTCTTACTAATACATCTTCTAACGGGAAACAAAATCTTCACCACAATGGAAATATGCTCCATTGGGTTCTTGACATGAGACTTCATTTGTGATTTCAACCCAAGCACCTTCTTATCTAAAAAATATTGAAAAAATGTGGGATGAGATACTAATCTCAGTGGATTATCGATCTAAATCATTGAATCTCTCACTACTCTTCTCTTAGCCACATGCATTCACATCTCTAAATCCTACTTGATTCTCCTTTTAAATTCTTGAGCTTACCCATTTCTCCTACCAATTGTAATTAATGGTGAAGCTTCCCCATCAAAGGTCAACGTTTCTGTTACATGAATAATATGTAGATTAGAGAGAGATTAAGACAAGAATTGAAGAAGATTAGTTAGAGATACTTGACTTGATTTCACCTTGGAAATGAGCTCCCTCTTCCTCATTCTTTCTTTATCACACAAACCTACCTTTTGAGAGAAGGAGGAAAATTCAGAATTTTAGCTCTTAAGTCTCCCATATACACACATACTATTTCCTTACCAAAATATCATAATACCCAATTCACTTAATAAATGAAATTCCCATCATATCATTTGTTCTAATAAGTTGATTATTGGCTTAACTATTATCTCAACAATAATTAAGTCATCATTTGGCTTAATGTATCATAGGAGAACACTGAGAAATGATCAAAATGTCCCTTAAGGTAAAATGACTATTTTACACTTTGTTTCACAATTCCACCACTTAACGATTGAGCTGATATCGATAAGCTGGGATATCATAGAAAACAGGATTGAAATGACACTAAATCAATTTCACACACACCATAATTTGGCCTTCTAGAGTGTGGAATTTTATTTTAGGTGAATAGTCGAGGAAACCACCCTTAAGGAATCACACTATATAAAACCACACTAAAATAAAGAATTTGAGTGGTGGAATTGTGGTGTAGAAACCACCTCGACTAAAACCTCGACTGTTCTCCTAAAATCACACTAAAATAGTCGAGACGGTCAATTTGTAAATGGAATCACACTATATAATCAAGAATGTTATCATGATTATTCTCATCTTGTAACCAGTTCTAAATGCTATTGGGATTTCCATGTATCTAGGGGTCTTGTGATCGTCCCGTAAAAACCTTATAGATTTCCTTCCTAATATAATTGTAGGATGTGATGCAAGCTTAGCTTCTAGTATGTCTCAATATACATAATGCCACCGGAACTCCCCTAATCAACAAATATAAGTTGAACATCACAACCAACCCTTGCCACTCTGATAATAATGGGTCTTCGTCGTAGAAAGAAAGTTGGGGCATTTCATTGGTGTGTGTTCCATTGAGGAGTTTCCCCGTCGTGAAAGGAGACAACATATCTCTAGGGTGTGTAGAAATTGTCAATGATGAGACTTTGAAGAGGGTTATTTTCTTTGTTTAACATCAGGTAGTCCCTTGTGATGGGAAGCGGTTCTTCATTTTCTTCTTTGGTAGATATGTACTCATACTGGTCAATTGTCCACTTGATTGGAGGTAGACACTTGGATGTGGAACTAATGATGTATCCCCTTTCGTGGAGGTTTTTGATTTCTTACTTCCTAGATCATTCGAGCCACCAGAAAGTGTCATATCATCTTGAAAAGGGAGAGAATGTTATATGCAATGATTCTCACAAATGACATCATTGATCTTGCCTAGACCAAAACATTCGAACAATGGGTTAGAATATGATAAGATGTCAAATTTCAATAATGGTTCCTCCTTGAGAGATCCTTCTTGGTTTGGAAGAGTGATTGGGTGGTACATACAGAATACTTTAACACCTAAGTCAATGAATGAATAAGACAAAGGATAATGTTGATATGTTTTTAAGATTGTGTGCATTAGTGTTACAACTATAAACCTTTATGTAAGGGCATTATTAGGGTTTGTGATGACTCTCATTCTCCAACTCTAATCATGACCGTCTAGGCCGACATATGTCAGCATCTAATTCATTTTGTCATTTAACGGTCTTACTTTACCCTTCTAGTTGGAAAAGGTGTTTTTAGGACTTGTTCATGTATGCTTAATAAGTCATATATATAGGAATAGGAAGAATACATAACATAATAATTTTTTTAGCTAATTACAAAGTGTCATATTTGATCCTCATTCACTAAGATAAGTGAGACTTTAGCCTTACCAGCCATATTTTTTAATTAAATATAAAGGGCTTTAATTTTTCTAAAAGTCCTATTTAACTAAAAAGGCAAGATTGTTATAAAAAAAATATTAAAAAAAAGAGTATACTTACCCTAACTTATCAAATAAACATGAAAATATTTGTGTATAACTATTATTTCTATACTAAATTTTTGAACTTTAAATTAATTTAGAAATTTTCTAACTTTTCAATAATTTAAGTTTATTAACATATTTTAATTTATTATTATAAATTATAATTGAAATATAGTATTATACATTAAGATTTACAAAAACATTATGTTAAATATTAAAATAATATTTAATCTCATTAATATATTAACTTTTTAGTCTATTTAAATATATGTTTGAATATTTCTTTAAATCCATTTCTATGATATATGTTTTTAAATAAAATAACAAGGTCATGTAAGACTTTAGAAAAGATCATTGCTCAAACTAAGTCTATATGTTAAGTTTAGGCTTTATAATTTTGTTTTGATAACAATTATGTCTTTATATAAGTGAATTTTTTTTATCCATTAATAAAAAAATAAAAAAGATTTCGACTTAATAGGAAAATTCTTTAATTTTGAACCTTTGTGGCGCGTCTATTGCATAATTTAATTTGTCTTTTAATATTTTTTTACTGATTAATAATTAATAATTTATTTTTTAAAATTATTTTATTTATGTTTCATCATCTTCATATTTACCGTACAAAATCAAATCTAGAAAATAAAAAATTAAAATCTTGTAAAGGTAAAAAATTAAATCTTTGATTTAATTTTTTTAATAAATTCATAAAAAACATTCAAATTTAAAATATAATCGAATTAGTGACTAAAATTTAAATTTGTCTATATCCCCTTTATCATTTTCTCATCCTCTTTATGAAAACATAAAGTATTCAAGTGTTTGAATAACCCTTTAAATATTCTCGATATCTTTTAAATTGTGCTTTTCTAATTAAGAAATTATCTAGTAAAAAACTAATATCATAATAATATTTTTCTTTTAGATTTTGACACATTTCTTAAAAAATATTTAGACATTTTTATTCATTTTAAAAAGTAAAAACTCTATAATTAAACGTGCTTGATTTTGACTAATATTAGAATGGGTGATTTTCTGAAAAGTTTATAAGAAAACGTATGAATGAGAACAAAGCATGCTAAAAAGATTCGTGTTGATTTGTGAGATCAGTCAATAATACCGAATACAGTCTCGGGCGTTAAATTATCATTTGTGAATATTATTTTAATTATGATACATCACTTATTATTTTTATTTTATTTTAGACAAAAAAATAATTTAAAAGTGTAGTTTGAAATACAACTCATTTATAAGATAACTATATTAGTTTTATTTGAAATTCAATATAACTTTTACAAAAATAAAAATAAAAATAAAAAATCATAATATGTTAATTACTATTTATTATAAACATTGTATTGTACATTAGAAAAAGTTATATCTTTTTTTAAAATTGTGTAATTTTTGACTGTATTTTAATCTCTAATAATTAATACTTATGTTAAAATAATGTTAATTTAATAAAAAAATTATTATAGGAGTGAGGGGTAACTCAACTATTAAGTTGAATTAAATGGATGTAAATTGTTGGTCTAGATTTCAATATTTGGAATGAGAAAATAGATGATGTACTGACTGTGTAAAAAAAATTTACACTGTCAAACAATCACGACTACGAATTCCGCCAAATCATACGATAATTTTTAAAAATTTATATGACATGACAAAATTATATATTTTATTGGATGACAATGTAAAACTTTTTTACACTATCAGTGTATCTCCTTTAACCTCATTTGAAATATCATTTACTCATAATTATGTATTAATGTAAAAAAAATTAATAAATAAATAAATAAAAAGTGATTAACAACTTTTTAAAAAAAAATCGAAAAAAAAAAGACTATTTTTTAATCTATAACAAATGAGCCCTATATATATTATTGATTGGTGAATACTCAAAAATCACATCTGAAAATAAGAAGATACATAAAACATGAGAGGAAACAAAGTAGAAATATTGTCAAAATTGTGTTTGTTAGTGACAATGATGATAGCTACAATGGTAAAATCATCTTCACTTAACTATAGTGATGCATTAACAAAAAGTATTTTGTTTTTTGAAGGCCAAAGGTCAGGACCTTTGCCACCTTCTCAACGTATCACATGGAGAAAAGACTCTGGTCTTAGTGATGGATTTGATATTCGTGTAAGTAATATGTGTGGATAAATATGGGTACTCTATTTTAATTTTCATGGTTTCATTCACTTGAATAGCCAACAAAATTATGATGATTTATGTAATTTTTTATTTTATATATTGGATATAATTTATCAAGATATGATAAAAAATATATTGTTTTTGTATTCATTTGTGAAACTTTGTAATTTCAAAAACAGATGGATATGATTGGTGGATACTATGATGCTGGTGATAATGTAAAGTTTCATTTTCCTATGGCATTTACAACAACTATATTAGCTTGGAGTGTTGTAGAATTTGGAGATTTTATGGGTCCAGATTTGCAACATGCAATAGAAGCAATCCGTTGGGGAACTGATTATTTCCTAAAAGCAACACAATCCCCAAATATTCTAATAGCCCAAATTGGAGATCCCAATAGCGACCACGGCTGTTGGGAAAGACCGGAAGACATGGATACTTCTAGAAAAACATATTTTGTTTCTCGAGAAAGATCTGGTTCAGAAGTTTCGGCTGAGATTGCTGCAGCCCTTGCAGCATCGTCTATTGCATTAAACAAAATTGATTGTTCGTATTCTAGAATTCTTCTTGACAGAGCTAAATCGGTATTATATATTTATTTAATTTGAATTTGTTATAGTTAGTTTAGGTAAAAAGAAATAATATAGGTAAAAAAGTGTTGAAGTCAATATTAAAAAGAATTAAATATGAAAAGAGTTTGCTAGAAACATATAAAAATAAATTGGTTTTTATATCTTATTAACTCATGTTAGGTATCATTTTTTTTTATATTGTAATTTTCTAAATACCTTTGTTACTAATTTATATATCTCTATATGAAATATAGGTGTTTGATTTTGCAAACAATTATCGTGGATCTTATAATGATTCCATAGGTGATGGAGCATGTCCCTTCTACTGTGATATCAATGGCTACATGGTATGATTTCATGATCTTATAATTCTCTTCATTTTTGTGTAGAAAAATATTATAAAGTATTGAATCAACAATACAACTTAGATTGCAAAAAAAAAAATTGATGTTGTAGTATAGTTTTAAAATCCATATCATTTTACTCATGAGTCACCATTAAATATATAAGATTAAAACTTAACTATTCATCCCTTTTAATTTTGAAGTATGAAAAATATGTTATTATATTTTAAAAATAAAAATTATATTCATCGGTTCATGAGTCATATAGTCCGACCAGAGTCATGCAGTGTGATCGTTAATTTATTTTATTAATTAATAATTTAACATTGTGGTGTACGGCTGATGTTTATGCCTTGATAAATATTATTTTGTTTGCGATCAAATTTAGGACGAGTTGGTTTGGGGGGCAGCATGGTTGTATAAGGCTTCTAATGATGAAAGTTATTTGAACTTTGTAAAATCAAATATGCAATCCATAAGATCCATAGATGATTTTGGATGGGATTCCAAGGATGCTGGAATTAATGTACTTGTTTCTCAGGTTAGTGTCACTTTTCATTACTAATGTAAGAATCAATTATTTATTTGACATTTATCAAGTCTGATGTTATTATTCAAATTTTGACAGTGGACGATGAATGATCCATCAAATCAAAATCCTTTCATCCCAAATGCAGACAACTTTATATGCCATTTGTTGCCTAATTCACCAAACAAAACAGTCACATATTCTAAAGGTAACTATAAAAATGACATTCTCATATGATATTTATGATACATGTAAAATTATGTGTTTAAATTACGTAAATTGACATTCTCATATGATATTTATGATACATGTAAAATTATGTGTTTAAATTACGTAAATTGACTGTTGATTGTTGATTAGGTGGACTTCTATTCATATCTGGACCAAGTAATATGCAACATGTAACATCATATTCTTTTTTATTAATTGTTTACGCACGTTACATGGAAGCTAACAAAAAAATAGTAAATTGCGGTAACGTTGTTGTCAAAGCAAATGATCTCGTTAATCTTGCAAAATCCCAGGTAATTATCAATCAACTAGTTACATTTTTAATTGCTAGTGAATATTTGTTTAAATTCTGTATTTTTTTAGGTGGACTATGTACTAGGAAAGAACCCATTAGGAATGTCATACATGGTAGGATATGGAGAAAAATATCCTCAAAAGATACATCATCGTGGTTCAGTAATTCCATCAATTGATGTGTATCCTAAGCATATAGGGTGTCGTGATGGAGACAAATATTTTCAATCACAAGAACCAAATATCAATATACTAACAGGTGCAATTGTTGGAGGACCTGCAGATGATGATTCTTTTCAAGATTCACGTTATAATGTTTCTCAATCAGAGCCAACTACGTATATCAATGCTCCTTTTGTTGGTGTTTTGGCTTACTTCAAACAACTCAACTCCATGTAGACTTTGAATTAAAATTTATGTCCTTACTTCAAACAATTATATATATATATATATATATATATATATATATATATATATATATATATATATATATATATATATATATATATATATATATATATATATATATATATATATATATATATATATATATATATATATATATATATATATATATATATATATATATATATATATATATATATATATATATATATATATATATATGAAAAATAATATAAAAATGTGTACTTGGAGGAAAGTGTGACATTTGTTTATTTATTCCAAGTGTTCCCTTAAAACGGTTTTGTTAGTCAAATTGATCCATTCCATTAAATTTTGAGAAACAAACGTTAAATTGTGCATGTGTGACAGTTTACTTGACAATATGTTATCTTACCAGTCTTTTTGTTTTGACGTTAAATTGTGCATGTGTGACAGTTTACTTGACAATATGTTATCTTACCTGTCTTTTTGTTTTGTTTATTTTCAATTTATTATTATTTTTATCAAACATGTGAAATACTGCAACATTAATTTTATTTTATTGGATTCTTTCAACTTTCACCACAATATTGTCCATTTTTTCCATTCATTCGGAAACACAATCTTTCATTCTCAACAAAACAATTTGTAATTTTTTTTTTGATAAGAGATGTGGAATGCTCCTCCAAGTTTCAGACCATCCAAATATGCCCCTTCTTCACCCTCTTTCTCTCTTCCCACAAATATTGTCATTTGAGGTTTAGATCTATAATTTGTTCATTATTTTTGTTCATTTTTCTTGTACTCTATTAATTGTTTTTTTGATTTGAACATCACAATCTTGATATGCAGGGTGTTTGAGATTTAGATCTACAATTCCCTTTTTATTTTTATTTTTATTTTTGTATTCCACCAATTTATTTTGACAATGATGAAGTAACATCAAATTTGAAGTTTGTCTTTCTCGTTGTGACTCTTCAATTTATTTTAGTAGTAGTTGAAGTTTATGCGATTGTTGTTTTTATGCATATAAATTTTATTTATTTTTTGTTTTAATCATAATTTATGTCTCTTTTCTTACATTTTTGTTGTGGTAGTTTTCATCCGGAAGCTTAGATGGTCCTATCAAATACTAGAAGAGTATTGTGGTAGTAAAAGTTGTATTTTATATATATATATATATATATATATATATATATATATATATATATATATATATATATATATATATATATATATATATATATATATATATATATATATATATATATATATATATATATATTGACTCAGCTTGCCAACCTGTCATGCCACGTCATCAAATTAATGTTTTTTTAAAAAAAAATTTAACGGCACGAGCCTTTTTGTGTAGCGGAACAACTTTTAGATGACCAATATGTAACCTTTTTTATTAAGGGACCAAAGTAAAATATTAAATTAATTTAAGGGACTTGAGAACTAATTATACCTTTAATTTTTATTCAATATTCAATATTCATTCAATATATGTTCACATTTGAAACCATAGGTCACAGTAGCCGCCGCCCATCTTTCTCTCTTCTCCCTCTCGCTCTTTCTTTGTTCTCAAAACTGCTCCTTCTTGTTTATGTGAGGCATTTAAAAGTAGTGTTCAATTTGGTGTTGTCTTGAATATCACCAAAGTTACTTCTCTTCCTGTTGTATGCAAAATTTTTACTTCTTTTGTTACTGAATATGGATGTGAGTTGTTTCTTCTGTTTTTCTCTCATTTGAGTTCTCTCTAATTTTTTATTTTTTTGTCTTTGTAGGTATATTTTTTATAGAGTTTGTGTTGAAATAAGTTTTGATTTTTGTTGAAATAAAGATTCTAAAGTTTTGTGTTGAAGTAAATTTTGATTTTTATTGAAATAGAGATTCTAAAGTTTTGTGTTGAAGAAATACTTGATTTTTATTGAAAGAAAATTTTGTTGAAAAAAGTTTTGATTTTTATTGAAAATTTTGACTTTATTAAAGTAGAAATTCTAAAGTTGTCAAAGAAATTTTTGTGTTAAAAATTCTAATAATGATTCTATTCAATTTTGTTCTCTCTATGTGCTGTCAAATCAATTTCATGATTTCATCCCTCCCCCCTCAAATCAATTAGTATCCATTATTTTGTTGTTTTGATCAATTTTCAATTTATCTTGTAATATTGTTATATGCAATATAACAGGTGGTCTGGATGTTTTGTTTTGTGATGATGATTTGAAATGTCAAAGCTACTTAATTATTAGTGGAGAAACTGATCTTGAAAATAATGTTAGGAGAACGTGGTAAAGCACACAAAGAAGGTTGTGGTGATAAATCCTATTACTAAAGCTGAAATTGTTACACGTTTACTGTTGCATACATTAGCTTGTTGTTGTTGTTGGAAATTCACCTCACACCCTATGAAGAATTCCCTTCAATCTTGATCTCAAGATTGATGAACAAACCCACAATATGATAATGATGGTAATAACAAGTAATTATCAAGAACAACAAAAGAGAAGAAGAATAACAAACAAGAAAGAGAAGAATGAGAGAAGAAGTATTTGGAGAGAATGTGTTACCCACAACTGTGGGATTTCTTATTGAACTTTCACTTGCTAACTGCAACTGTGAAATCTGTTCTGTTGTGATGTAGAATACAAAGCAAGGCACCCTATTTATAGTTTTAGGTTTACACTTGCCCAAAACATAAAAGGCCCAAAATATTCTAAATCAAATCTAATCATATGATATCTAATCATATCATATCAAATTAATCATATGATATCAAATCTAATCATATGATATCAAATCTAATCATATCAAATCACAATGAATTATATTTAATACACCACCTAATTCATTGTGTCTAAACTGTCTACATTCATCATGGCCCTTAGTCTTCTGAAGGCTTCGACCTGCACTCCCTTCGTCATGATATCTGCAATCTGATTTTCAGTTCTGCAGTGTTCCAACTTCATCTTCCCTTCTGCTACCTACTCTCGGAGATAATGGAACCTCATTTCGATGTGCTTGCTTCGACCATGAGCTATTGGATTCTTTGCCAAGTTGATAGCTGACATGTTGTCTATCTTCATGGTAATTGCTCCATGGTTCTTCCCTGTGATTTCTTCGACCAAGTTCACCATCCAAGTTGCTTGACATGCACAAAGGGAAGAACCATGGAGCAATTACCATGAAGATAGACAGCATGTTAGCTATCAACTTGGCAAAGAATCCAATAGCTCATGGTCGAAGCAAGCACATCGAAATGAGGTTCCATTATCTCCGAGAGCGGGTAGCAGAAGGAAAGATGAAGTTAGAACACTGCAGAACTGAGAATCAGATTGCAGATATCATGACGAAGGGAATGCAGGTCGAAGCCTTCAGAAGACTAAGGGCCATGATGAATGTAGACAGTTTAGACACAATGAATTAGGTGGTGTGTTAAATATAATTCACTGTGATTTGATATGATTAGATTTGATATCATATGATTAGATTTGATATCATATGATTAATTTTTGGGTGAGTATGTGGTGTGTCTCTCACAAAGGTTGCTCTAGAAAAAAAGTCCCACTATGTTCAATGCTCCCTAGTTGAAAGTCCAACAGTGGTATCATGAGCCTTTGGTTCGAATAAAGGGAACGACTTACTTGTACCGAAAGTATCCCCATAGGTTGTGGGTTGAGTGTCTCGTTGAAGAATGTCAACGACGGTACAAGGGTGCAGTTGCACGGAAGTTTCCGCTTAAGGGAGAGCATTAGGATAGACTCACACTTGAGGGAGAGTGTTAAATATTAACAAGTGTGAGTATGGTGGATAATAGTCCCACATTGGATAGAAATATGGTGACTTAGCATTTATAAGTGAGAGAACCCATACACCTATCACCTTAAGGTTTTGGGTGAGTATGTGGTGTGTCTCTCACAAAGGTTGCTCTAGAAAAAAGTCCCACTATGTTCAATGCTCCCTAGTTGAAAGTCCAACAAAACTCTTGTTAACTATGATTTTCACAAAACTTTCAATGTGAGTCTCTAGCATTAGTATTTTTTCATAAACTCCTTGACATTTTGAAGTCTCATATCAAGGATGTGCTTTGGTTATTTATTGTGTTCGTGTTCCATATTTGAGAGAGAATATAAGGTTTTAAACAAAAGTCTCTCACTAAAATTTCTATAAAATATGAATAGAAAGATGTGTATATAAAAGCAACAAGATCTTATATTTAAATGTACACTAAATTGGTTTTGTATATATGCAGATAAATATATTATATATATATATATATATATATATATATATATATATATATATATATATATATATATATATATATATATATATATATATATATATATATATATATATATATATATATATATATATATATATATATATATATATATATATATATATATATATATATATATATATATATATATATATATATATATATATATATATATATATATATATATATATATATATATATATATATATATATATATATATATATATATATATATATATCAATCTATTAAGTTGTATATGCTTTTTTTTATAACCTAAATTGGCATATTTAATTAACTATGCCTCTTAGAAAGTTAAACTTACCTTTTATGATAAATAGGTCAGGCTGGACGAGGCCTAAAATGGTCAGGTCGTAGGCCCATAACAGTTGGTTTGGCCTACAGTAACTAAGATTAATTGGAATTTTGAATAATTCAAAACGACCATCTAAAAAGTAAAAATATGAACATTTTGTCAGTCTTTCTAGAATTTTATCAATAAGGAGGAGAGGAAAGTGGTCTTTATGAGTTTCTTTCTATAACATTTTGTAATGATACACATCCCCCACCCCGTAATGGTCCTAGTAGCAACATATTCATTTTTTAAAAAAATTTACAATAGTGATGTCTCACTTTTTAAGTACCACTTGAACATGAATTATCCACTATCTAATAAAAATGAGCTTAAGTACCTATTTTTTAACAACTTCTTTCTTATTAAGATTTAATTTTCTTCGGTGCTCAATAGAGAGTTTATAGTCCCTTTCAATTAGTATCATATGCACGCAACATGATGGATTGATTTGTTTGATATCCTCAATAGTGACCCAATGTTTTTTCCATACCTTTTCAAGGACATTAAGAAATTTTGGAGTTTCTTTTCCATTCAATTCATCACCCACAGTTATAGGAAATATGGAATTTTTACCAAGAAATACATACTTGATGTTTGGAGGCATGGATGAACACCTATGGTTCCTCTCTTTTAAGATGCATTGAATCTTTCACCATAATAACCTCAAAATTTAGATCTGGAATCGGAAATTTTGCATTCAAAAATTTAATATTTTCTTCTAATTTCTTTTCATTACCTTCATCTCCCACCAAACAAGCTTTAGAGTGGTCTTTAGAGAATGATTACAAAGGACACTCATTCACACACTAATATATCATGACAACAATGTAACAAGGATCCTCAAAGAAAATACTTTTATAATGTTATGAGTATTAAAATTATATTCTTTTAGTGCCTATATTAAAAACATGCCTGACATATATTATGGTGTTCGTCTCGTGGCAAGAAAATATCTCCTCAAAATAAATGAGATTTAAGAATACTCCTTCATTTTAAGTATCACAGAGTCAATAGGTATAAATAATTTTCCTACTTTTGCATAAACATCTTATAATATTCTCATAAGATAATTTACCAATTTATCAACCAACTACAAATAAATTCTAGTTAGTTTCAACTCAGTCAGTTCAAGTCTTTCACAAATAGATAAATATATTAGACTCACTATGAAAAATAGATTGGTTCCTTAAGCTCAAAATAAATTTATTTTAAACCATAAAATTATACTCCTCCACCAAATCTACCGTTAATTTACATTTAGCTTTCTCTTTTATTAATAAGATTTCTTTTAAAAATTGGTCATACCATGGCATTTGAAACAATTCTTCGGTGAATGAAATGTTTATGTACAATTTATGTTATGCTCTATAAACCTTGAGATTCATCTTCTACTTTTGTTTTAGGAAATCTCTAGAGATATGAAATATTTGTTTTATATGGCGGAGGAAGAATATGAGTCTTTTCTTTCTCTTCCTTCACTCTTTTTTCCTCTTAAATTCTTTTTTCATACTAAAATCCTCAATGGATGATTTCTTACTCCTCTCAGACTCATTTCTTCCTTTTATTTATCTTTTGGTTCTCCCTGTTGTTTTCCTCTTTTCAAGATGATAAAACTAAGTCTTCCTTTGAGTTTGTATAAAATTCTCAATCATAATGTCTAGACTTGATTTAAGAGAAATTACATAATAATGGAAGAAAAAAAAGGCAATTTACATTTTAAAAAATAGTAAGATAATGAAATTATTTTAAATACCAAGGTTAAGTTTTGTTCTTGCTAAAAACACTAAAATGTTGATTTCTCCATTATTAGTCAGGGAGAGCCTAAAATAATTAGTTTAAGTGTCTGTTGTGTATTTTCTCAGATGATTCACCCTTAAATGATTTTCTGACATCCTTTATATAGGCCCATCCTTCCCTCCAACAATCATGAAAAATCCTTTCCTCTTCCTTCCTGCATTCATGGCTCAGAAATTGTCGTTGTTTTATCATTTAACTCCCTTTCTTAAAGGCTTGTAATGTTTTCTTCATAACAATGTCGTTGTGACCCTTCATCTTCTGAGACCATTTCTAGATGATGTCCTTACACCGATGCTGACCTCGATCCATCAGAGCTCACAACCCGACAACATGATGACTTCTAGCTTTGTATATTACCCAACTTTTATCTGAATTATCCCTATTTCATCGTAGACTTCTTCTGATTTTATACATCGATTGGTCAAACAAATTTTTGGGATGAACATAAGCCCTCCGAGCATGAAATTTAAAAGATTGAAATGTTCGGACAAAAGAAGCCCAGTAATTTTTTTTCGAGGGTCGAGATACTCCTCGGCCTTATCATGTCACTCTACACGACTTTGGTGACGTGGTCAATCGTGACAAACGTGGGAGCGTATTGTTACCAAATTTTCTCTTTCTTCCGCAATGATAGTTTTATGGGAAATTGATCCTCTTCATAAATTCAAAACGCTTCATATTTTAGAGTCGTTTAAAAAAGGATTTTTTCTCCTAATTAAAGTCATCTCTTCCCCTAATTAAAGGCATCTCTTCCTTTTCTTGTTAATTATCAACTAAAGTAACTTATTTCTTTTTCAAGGCGATATCAGAACTTCCATTTGTTCTTCAAAATAATGAGAGAGAGAGAGAGAGAGAGAGAGAGAGAGAGAGAGAGAGAGAGAGAGAGAGAGAGAGAGAGAGAGAGAGAGAGAGAGAGTATGCATATGAATGAACGAAAATCTGCTTGTCTAAGACATTCCTCACCCATTCAACTATATAACTTATTAAAATATTGTAAAAATATGGCCTATTAAAAAAATCAAATCGTAGCATATTTAGGAAATTATGTTTTATTTTAAATGCACTGCAAAATTTAATTGTTTGAAATAGGATAAATATTGGATTTGGGTTTGGGTGACTTTATAGTCACTTTGATAACTTCAATATAATTGGAAAATATATAAATAATTAAAATAACATAGGTGAGTGATTTTGGTTTCCAATTACATCAAAGTTACCATATTTAAAAATCGTCCGATCCTTTTTCTTTAAATCTTCACGGGGAACATTTTATAGTATTTATTTGTGTGACACATATTCACATTCTAGATTCTAAGATGCAAGAAGAACTAAGTTAGAGAGTAAACATCATAATATATATGTACTTCTTAGAGTAAATGATAGATCTAAAGTATACAGGTTTATAATTCAAATTCTACTAAAATTATTATAAGTAGATACATATAAATTTTAAAGAAGAAATAATGAATGGGATTGAAATGAAAGTAACAAGTGAAAAGGATATTTCTGTTAACGAGAAAAGTGGAATTGATAGTAGCAAAAAAGGGGTGTTGGTAACACTTCCCTTAACAAATTTTACAGCCCAATTCTTGTAATTGAGATAACGGCCCATTTATAGAACATGTAATTCCAAACCAAAAATAAAAAAAGTCATTGTACTATTTTAGCGTCCCAATTTCCAAAACTTGTAAGAATTCTCCAATTCACCATAGTACTAATAATCTCATGCAGTCACGTCCACTGGTCAACACCGTTGTATCTCATCATTAACCTACAATTGTACCATCTTCTCATCAACCAATAAAAAAAGATAGGTGCTAGTTAAAACCGTGGAGCGCCAACACAGAGGATAACTCCCAAAACCATTTATCACTGCACCCTCCTAGCCCCTAGGGATCAGGTCATTCAATTTTCCACTTTCACTTTTCACAGTTTCACATTTCTCACTGCGTGCTTGAGTGTGATCGTTTCGCTCTGTGACGGAATCTTCATCATTGTAAGTGAAAATCTTTCTCCGAGCTTACATTGTTGCTGAGATTTTTCTGCGTTGAAAATCATGAAAATCTATGTGTGTTTTGTTGAATATGGTGATTGTTTTCAATTTTTTTAGTTCCGTTGTCTAATTGCATGTTTTAGGAGATGCGTAGTTGGAGAATTTAGGATTTTTTTTTTCAAGCTAAGCTAGGCAATTGTTGCGTTCGATTAAGTTGATTTTGCAAATGTGGTTTCTGTTAACCCTGGAAATTAGGGTTTAGAGAGGAGGTTGAACCTCATGGACACTAGACATTTTAAGATAGCGTAAATGAATGTTGCGTTGTGGAAACTAGACATTTTTAAATGCCTGAATTCAGTAACAATTTTTTTTTTGTTAAGATCATGTGTTATATGTAGTTTGATTTTATGTGTTAAGATCATGTATTATATGTAGTTTTTTTTGTTACAATGCATATTATTTATGATGACATTTATTTTCCCTTTATGTCAAGGGCTATATCAATTATATGTAGATTTTGATTGCTGATAATAGTAGAAATCAGTGTTATCAGATGGCGGCGCCATGACCGTTACTGATGTACATGCAGTTTTGGGATTGCCGCGGGATATTTCGGATTTTTCCGCCATAAACCGCTATAACAGCGCCGCAAAGCAGCCGGTGTGGTGGGATTTTGGCTCTCCGCTTTGGACCGCCATCGACAACGCTGGTAGAAATTAGGGTTAAGAGAGAAAGTTGAACCTCGGAGACTTGAAATATAGCACAAATGAATGTTGCATTGTGGAAACTAGACATTTTAAAATGCAGGAATTCAGTAACATTTTTTTTTGTTTTATTTAGATCATGTGTTTTGCATATTATTTATGATATTTACTTTCCCTTTATGTTAGGGGTTATGTAGTTTAGGGATATTTGGTTTTGAGTTGAATACCTATGTGGCTGAAAGTTTAAATTGTAATTTAATATTTCAAAACTGGCATTTGTAATTGTATGCAGAGCTTCAATGGACTACAGCTCTGAAGAGTCAGATATCAGTGAGTCTGAGATTGAAGAGTATTCTGAGAAACCTTACGAACAGTTAAAGGCTGGGAAATACAAAGTTCGGAATTTCAATGGCACTCTAAGGTGCCCATATTGTTCTGGAAAAAAGAAGCAGGAATTCAAATATAAAGACTTGTTGCAACACGCAACTGGAGTAGGCAAAGGTTCAGCAAACAGAAGCGCAATGCAAAAGGCGAACCATCTTGCTCTGGCAAAGTATTTGCAGACCGACTTAGTTAATGAAGCAGAACAAGTACCTCCCCCAGCTGTGACCCAAACTGCCATTCAACCTGTCCAGCAAGCTGAAAATTATGTTTGGCCATGGACAGGCATAATTGTTAACATAAAGAGCGAATTGCATGATTCTGGATACTGGCTAAAGGAATTTGTCAAGTACAAACCATTGGATGTACATGTATTCATGATGGATGGTGTTGCTCAGGCTGTAATAGACTTCAACAATGACTGGCATGGTTTCATGAATGCATGTGAATTTGAAAAATCCTTGGAAACTAAACATCATGGAAAAAGGGATTGGAATCCGATGGACTTGCAGGCCAGTTCAGACATTTATGGATGGCTTGCACGTGAAGATGATTTTTATGGTGGAGGGTCAATTGGGGAGTACCTTCGCAACAAAGGAAGGCTGAGAACAATTTCAGATATTGTACAAGAAGCATCTGAAAACAGAAGCAGCATTGTGGAAAACCTGGCTAATGAAATTGATATTACAAATGAAAACCTCAACAAAATGCAGTATAAGTATAATGAGAAAACAATGTCCTTAAGTAGGATGCTGGAGGAGAAAGACAAGCTTCACAATGCTTTTGTTGAAGGTTTGTATAATTTCTCTTTGAATCTGGTTTTGCCTTATTGTATATAAAGACTACGTGCTTCAGGTTTGGCCGGATATGTTTTACTACTCTTGTACATTCTATGGAATAGAAGAATAGAAAATAACTTGCATAGATTTTAAAAAGCTACAGAAATATCTTTGTTTTTTTGTTAAGAGTCGAGGAGTATGCAGCGTAAAGCTCGTGAGGAGGTACGAAGGATCTTGGAAGAACAAGAAAAGTTGAGTAATGAATTGGATGAAAAAATGCGGAAGCTTGACTCCTGGAGCAGAGATCTGAATAAACGCGAGGTTATAACTGATCAAGAGAGGCAGAAACTTGAAGAGGACAAGAAGAAGGTAATGTATATTACATTTTTTGGTGAATAGTATATGCCCACAACAACAACAACCAAGTCCTATCCTACTAAGTGGGGTAGGCTACATGGATCAAAACCCACCATAATGCTCTATCCGAGACCATGTTTCCATCCAATTTGTTAATCTCGAGATCTTTCTCAATAGTTTCTCTTATGGATTTTCAAGGTGTTCCTCCTTGTCTATATGCCCAATCTAAATATTTTTTATTGCTGATTTCATACTTTTATCTACCTCTGTCCTTTTAAACAAATTGACCTTTCTTTGTCTATAGTCTCCTACTAATGTCCTTGGTTGCTCATGATTGGAATAAAAAAGTGCTTTATTTTGACCCTATTGATTCCATTTAAGTGAATCCCAACTTTTATTAGCCTTCCACTATCTGCTAATTAGACCAAAGTCTATATTGCCAAATTTACAGCTTTTGATTCTTGTGGGAATTATCAATTTATATTTATGACTTTAGTTTTAACTACCTCATTTATGTCGAGATTTTGTTTTGAAGATTTGTAGTTTCATATAGTATATGAAATCTTTGTGCATGAATATTTTATTTAAAAAGCATCTTTAAAATCCATAAGAAACCCCAGATTTGCTTGTTGGTATCCCACTTTGTAATCTTTACATGCTTAAGGGGCCTTAAAACTTTGAAATCATCAGCTTTGCGTGTGCTTTTACAAATTTCTAATATTACTTCCTTGTCCTTCTAGAAAGACATAAGGAATGTATCACTCATGGCGGCTTCAAAGGAGCAGAAGATAGCTGATGAAAATGTCTTCAGGCTTGTTGAAGAGCAAAAGGTTTTCCTTCTATTGACTCTCTTTGTTATGAAAAAACTCTACTACAGCAGCTTATGCTGTTTATCACTTATAAGTTATATCATCCATTGTGAATGTTTTCTGCTGATGTGAATTTCCAAACTATCAGAGAGAAAAAGAAGAGGCCTTAAACAAGATCCTTCTATTGGAAAAGCAGCTAGATGCCAAACAAAAGTTAGAAATGGAAATTGAGGAGTTAAAAGGAAAACTGCAAGTTATGAAACATCTTGGAGATCAAGATGATGCAGCTATCAAGAAAAAAATGGAAGAAATGAAAGCTGAATTGAAAGACAAAATGGACGATTTGGATGATATGGAGGCCATGAATAACACCCTCGTGACCAAGGAGCGCCGAAGCAATGATGAACTTCAGGAAGCTCGTAAAGAGTTAATAGAAGTATGATCTCATTTACTTTCTTCCAATTTTATTTAGTTCTATGTGAAAAGAAATGCTACTCACACTTGTTGCATCCTTTAAACCTCTATATGTTTACTCTTAAAGATAACCAACTAACAAGGTGCATAGATTTTTTCATGCTAAGCTATAAAGTACCTGCGTGAAGATTATCTTCACCTTTCTGAGGAAATAAGGATTTTAATATTTTGTTGTTCTGCAGTGAGATATTGTAGAGACTAAAGTTGTTTCCCCCCTTCTTTTTTTCCTTCTAATTTCTATTGTTGTAGGGGTTAAATGAACTGCTGACTGGTGTTAAAACTAATATTGGGACCAAGAGAATGGGAGACCTTGACCAGAAGGTCTTTGTGAATGCATGCAAGAAACGATTTTCGGAAGAAGAAGCTGGGATAAAGGGTGTTGAGCTTTGCTCTATGTGGCAGGAGAATGTGAAGAATACAGCTTGGCACCCTTTCAAAGTGGTTAAAGTGAATGATGAACATAAGGTATGCATCATAGAGACATGCTCTGTTTTAGATGTTGTTATGCCTCATTAGAGAAATAGTATATAATTAACATGTAATACTGTTATATTGACACAGACAGTTGTAGATGAGGAAGATGAGAAAATACGAAATCTCAAGCAGGAATGGGGAGATGAGGTATATTCAGCTGTTGAAACAGCCTTGAAAGAAATAAATGAATACAATGCAAGTGGTGGATATGCTGTTTGGGAGCTATGGAACTTCAAAGAAAATAGAAAGGCAACATTGAAAGAAGTTATTACTTATATTGTGGAACAAATGAAGAACCTTAAACGCAGGAGAAAATAGGAAAAAGGTATGTTTCAGACTTTCAGTTAAGCTCTTGTTCGGCACTGCTTTGACCCATTAATGAGTACTGCATTGATATTCCATTGCTAAAATAGTAATTTGAAAAGAAAGAAATAGTGACCCAATTGCATCCATATGCACATGCAACAACCTTTAGACCCTTGTTAGGTGCAATACTAAATAATTAAATAAGATATCAGTTTAGGTTTTTATTGAACGTCGTCCAATATCTAGAATGAGATCTTAAATTATTTAATATCTTAGTAGAGTACTGTAATGTAATTCAATACTTTAATCTATTCTGCAATTTGTTTATGACCGATGAATGGGTAAAGGGAGTGACTTAGGTGAAGTTGTACGCACCCTATTCTGTAGTATCTGTATGGCAATAGTGTAAGTAGTTTATAAGTTATAACCAATTGCTAGTAGTTTATAACTGAAAATTCATAAATGAATAATTAGTTGATTAAAATTCAAGTGGTTTAAATTAGTTGGTGAACTAACTGATAAATATAAAATGACATATATGTTCATGTAATTTTTTTTGCATACATTATTTAATCTAAAATACTTTTAAAAGCATTACCAAAAGTGATTACAAACTAGTTTACAAGTTTGTCAAATAATTTAAGTCTGTCAAACAAACTCAAGCTTTCCTTGCACCTGACATGTTGGTTCTCCTGTGTTACGCAATCAATGCATCAACAAGTATTTGGTTTTGTTAGAACTTGACTCTTTCAATCGTTCATGTCTATCATGAATAATTTTGAAAAACAGAAGATGAAAATTAAACAATGACTGATAGAATGCACAAGCTTTTTTTATAATATTCAGAAAGGAAAAGTTTCTGATATTTGGATAGCTACAAGTATAATTGCGCAAATGCACATTTCAATTCGGTTAATATGCCCCCCTAAAATCTGAACATGCTTGGGGCTTTGCAGGGGAGAACTACACCATGTTATGCTGTGCTGTGAGGTTTGGAGAAAGATGGAAGTAGGACCTTTTTTACAGCCTTCAGACTTCAGTGAGCTGTTTAATCTATTGTGTGTTGGAACTTCTTTACTCTTGCTATTCCATTCCTAAAATTCCACTCTGAACTATTGATGATAAAACTGTTATTAGTTATTGCAAATGTTAACTGTTTATTTTATGTCTATGATTGCTGATTATAATTTACAAATGAAATGTATTCATCTAACGTGAGGCGAAAACTATTAGTTTTTTATAAACTAGAGAGAAAAAAAATAATTGAGATCATAAATCGATGACAATTGTGAAAATATCAAGATGACAATTGTGAAAATATCAAAATTTTAAGGATGAAGTTTGGATAGGTAAGTTATAGGTACAATAGTTTTTTTTTTTTCTCCCAGAATTGCATATTTTTAGATCATATAACTGGGGAGACTACTTTGTAGGCTGAAGACTGAAAATTGAGAGCGCATTTGTCCAACTTTATTTTGATTAGCAAACTGATTTTATAAATTGATTTTTCTTGAAAATATGCTGAAAGTAAATTGGTTTATATTTTATTGTACCAATTGAAAGGTGGATTTGCAAAGTAATAGTTAGGATAGCTTTGAGCAAAACTGTTTTCGGTGTAATAACCATTTCAAAATAGGTTTCGATGTCAATATATACTTTCTTGGGAGTATTTTGTTTACTTTTTTCTGTGTCATCGGCTCTTTTTTTTTAAATAATTTTTATACTATTAGATATTTTTGTTGAAAAAATGTTTTATAAAAACTTTAAATGAAATTTTAGATTGAATAATTTTTAAAATATTATTTTAGTAATTTCATCATAAAATTAAAATTTTAAATAGTTGTTTTTAAAAATATTATTTTAGATATTTCATCATTTTGTTTAAAAAATTTTAGATGTCAAAATTTCAAAAAAAAAATCAATAATTTCAAATAATTTTTTATAAAAATTATTTTTAAAATTTAAATTTTTAAAAAATTGTAATTTTGATTAGGTTTTGATCTTTAATAATATATTTATATAATAAATGTTATTAAATTTTAAAATTAAAATTTAAAATTAATCTTTCGATTTAAAAAATAAACAAATTTATAAAAATTTGTAATATTTTAAAAATCATTTTCATAAAAATTATTTAAAGAAAAAATCTATTTTTTCTAAAGGTAAAACAAACTGGCTAGGAACAACCAATTGATTAGATAACATAAATAGCTATAGATATCCTTTTACCATTATGCGCATTTTCTTCAATGCAAAGAGTGTTGTGCCCAATTCAGAGGAGCACCTACTTTTGTTGATCCTACTGCGGTACAAATTATATATCACATGTACACAGTATCTAACAATAAACTCTACATATATGCATTTATTATCTTCCACCTTTCATCTGTCTTTCTCACTCAATTGACTGCAAGAACCTGAATCATTTTTCTTGCAATTTCTAGATATCCAAATTTATGTTTTCTTCTAACTCTCAAGTACACAAACATCTTTAGAATCTTATAAACTAAAGATGGTCTTTTATGTGATAAAAGTTAATGAAACACTGTCAAGATATTTTATTATGATACTCACTCTAATCTTATATATATAAAAAAAGTTCGTTTATTAGATTCATTGAATAAACAATGTATCTGGACAAAAATATAGACCAAATACATTAATTATTGAATAAATCTAAAAAGAAAATGTTTTCTTATAAATAGGTTTAGAGGTAGTACTAAATTATTAAAGCATGCAATCTTGGCTATATGATTGATAATCTGGTCAGATCAGACAACTGAAAACTATAACTCTGCATAAATGCATGGAACCCATTTCTTTATATACTTTCTTGTAGTCATACCACAATGGATGTAAACCCAACTATAAGTACAAAAAATGGAGTTCCTACTAAAATAAACATGTTTTGAAGTCTTTCGATGGAGAATTGATCCTAAGACTGGGGTTTCATTTTTTCCTTCCTCAAAGTCAAGCTATAAATAGATTTGGAGAACTTGATTTTGATCATGATAGACAATTTTCAAATGCTAAAGATTAAGTTAAATCGCGTAACCACATAATGAAAAGAACTGAACACAGACAATGAACAGACAAACATGGGGCACAGACAATAATCTTTACATGGAAGTGCCAATTTTATTAGCATGGTTTAAAAGTTTTTCCACAGCCTTCAAAGACATTTCGGCCAATATTCCTGAAATCAAGCATAAGTACTGACCACTCATCAGGAAAGTGATTTTGCTCTCGGTAATTGTCGTTGGTTGTGATGTTATTGTTATCAAATGGAAACTTGTGTTATTGAAATTTGTTTTCTTCTTTGAGATCGATGGGACCTTGTTTCATCTTCTGCAAATTTGAAAGAAAAAAAAAAACCAATAACATTGCAAGAACATTATTAATTATTTACACATGTCCGTTTCCATGCATTTTAAAAAAAGATAATATATAATTTATAACGAAAAAAAATCCAATGATGATATTGTTATAATTAAAAAATAATCAAATATTTATATTAAAATACATACAAGTTTAATAATGACGCATTTAATAAAATGATATATATATATATATATATATATATATATATATATATATATATATATATATATATATATATATATATATATATATATATATATATATATATATATATATATATATATATATATTGTGCGGATATGAGGCGGAATGAGTGTTAAAATACTCATACTATCGCCCATATCCGCTTGTTTTTGTGGGTAATTGCTTGTTCTTATTCCAGTATTCAATCTGCAGATTTTTACCATATTCACTGTGAGCAATTTTTGCAGATGCCTATTGAAAATTGGTCCAAAAGGCATCCCTAACCTTCATTGAAGCCTCCAACATGCTTCGCTTCAGGTTCACATTGGGCCCAAGCACGAGGGTGAGTGTTGGAAATTCCAATTTCATTACTATCCACTTTTTGCATTTTGTGTTAGGTGTAAAAAGGGATTGATTTAGTCCCACATTATATAAGAATATGACTTGTGTAATGTTTATAAAGCATTTATTATTATTTTTCCACTCTAATACCCCTTATTTATTAACTTTCACTTTATTCAATTACTCTTATAACTATGATTAATAAGAGCATTTTACTAAATAATATTAGTTTTATCATTAAAATTAACACATCTAATAATTTTTTTAATTTTTTTTAAGAATTGTGCATTAGGACACTTTTTATGTCTGCCTCCTATTAATTTTTGCTTTCATACCAAACAAACATTTATCAACTTCACGTAAGAGTAAGTTGCATGTGCCCATCACAAGTCCAAAAACATTGCATAATTCACATGAAAGACTAAGCATCTGCAGGAAATTCGGAAGCTTTTTTCACTTCAATTTCAATAGTTAATAGCACTTCAAGATGTCAGAATACCAGTTTCAAAACGAGGAATAGACTTGATAGAAACATTTTTTTTTACTATGAAAAAGAACCCAAAAAAAGTAAGACCTCATTTATTATTTGTACATAATTGATTTGAAACAGAACAGAAGGTTGAGGCATGGATGTAAGTAAGAATAGAAAAATACCTCAAATTGAGAATAAGTATGGCCTCTTTGTTTGAGAATGAAACACATGAAAGAAGCTATACTTGTTGAATAGGAAAGCTGAGAAATTATCTGTGACTTCCACAAATCTCGAGATAACTTTTTCAATCTCACTCACATTCTCACGCTGAATCAGTTTTGGATGTTGAATAGCATTCTCAACATACAGCCAAACATCTTTGCTCCCAAGTCCAATCATATTTGACCATTGCAAAATCATGTTGAATGCTCAAGCTCAATTAAGCATGGGAAAAGAACCAAACACCACTAGCTACCAATCTTGTTCTTGTGAGTAGAACAGTATCAATATTACATTCAGCTTAAAGTTGAAACTTATTTTTTTTTTAATCAAAGAAATTGTGTGTTAATTCAAAAAACCAGATACAAGAGCGAGGCGATCACTCGGGATCCAGCCAACAAAAGTGCAAAATAAAGCCAAAAAAGAGACTAGAACTACATCATAAAGTTAGCAATGTTAGGTCTAAGTCCCTCACTATACCACCCCTATTATAGACTATAGTGTCTATAATATCATTCACAATATTCAGTTTATCTACATTGTTCCCGAAACAAATTGCATCACGATACCTCCTGATACCATTAAGAGTTTCTGTTACGGCGAGTCTAAGAATTGGGGCATTCCACCCTTTCCCTTTGCACTGAGAAAGAATCCAGACAAATTCATCATTCCAATTCTTTGGGATATGGCTAACTTGAACCCAAAACAAAACATTCATCCAAATATTCTGCGTCTCGCTACAACCAAAGAAAAGATGATTCATATTATCTTCAGCTGTGCAGAAGCAGCAAGTTGTATTATCAAGCAATCCAAATCGATGGAGTCGAGTTTTGGTGGGAAGTTTCGCATGGCAGGCTTGCCAAAGAGTCATAACCGCACGATGTCAAGCCACATTGCCATACACAATTCTACTCCAAGCCACTTTATCTTGATCTCCACATCTAATCTTCAAGTAAACCTGTTTGGAAGTGAACTTGTAGCTATGAAGAAGAAACTGCCACTGAGTATGCAAACCGGCCAGGTTGTCTCGTTGATGAAGTATATTGTTAAACAAAGGTGAGTGGCTGGGCTTAGTGTGAAGATCCATAATGTCATAGTTTTTTAAATAGTAAGTGTGTACCCATCTAACCCAAAGGTTATCAGTCTTCTTACATATATTCCACAAAAGCTTCAGCTAGTGGCCTTGTTCCAGCAACCTAGATTAATAATATTGAGACCACCAAGCTTCTTAGGGCTGCAGACAGTTTTCCAAGAGACAGGACTTTTCCTACTGATATCAGCTTTTCCAGTCCAAAGGAAAGACCTTAAAATCGCGTCCATCTTACAGATCACAGCTTTTGGAAGTGGAAGACATTGCATCCAAAAGTTGGCTACAGCAAAGGAGACGGATCCGAAAATTGAGTCCTGCCAGCGTAGCTTAAAAGATGGCTATTCCAATGCCTAATCTTCTCCACAATCTTGTCCACAAGTGGCGTGTAATGATGGATGCTCAATAATTGCTTACAAGTCAGTGGGATGCCCAAGTACCTAAATGGGAAGGACCCTTGCTCATAATTGGTAAAGCTCGTGATTTGCATTCTAGTAACATTATCAACTCCACCAAAAAACATCTTACATTTCAAAGGGTTAACAGACAGGCCAGTAGACTTAGAGAAAGTAGAGAGAGTGCTTAGTAACAATTCAACAGACCTGTAGTCACCCCTAGAGAAAAGCAGAACATCATCAGCAAAAAGGTTAGGTTTGTGAGATGGAGCTTTTCGCATTTAGCATGGTGGTTGAAATCAGGATCTTTTTGCATCTTGAGGAGGAGCCTGTTGAGATATTCCATAGTGATAACAAACAGCAGAGGTGACAGAGGGTCACCCTATCTAAGACCTCTCTTTGCCTGCATGATAGAAGTATAGGAACCATTCACATTGAATCTATAAGTATTGTAGTAACAGTCCTCATAATCCATCTGTTGAATTGGGCAGGGAAACCAATTTCTGTAAGAATGCATTCCAAAGCCTTCCAATCAAGCATATCATAGGCTTTTTGGAGGTCTAGTTGGATCATGCACCTTGGGTTGCCACCCTTCCTAGAGTAAGGTCTGAGTAATTCATGGGCAAAAAGAATATGGTTATGAATCTGCTGCACGGGAATGAAAGCTGCTTGATTTGATCCCACAATACTGCCAATAACTTTACCCAGCCTTGTGGTGAGAAATATAGAGATGATCCTGTAGAAAGTTGTACAGCCTGCAATAGGTCGGTAATCCTTCATAGAAGTAGCTCCATCAAACTTTGGGATAAGAGTAACCAAAGGGCAATTGAAAGCTCTGAAGAGATGACCCTGATGGAAGAATTCTTGAACTGCTGCAATCACAAATCATGCTAAAGTTTCTAGGCATCAACTGTTGTTAAGTGATGATCAAATAGAGAACACCATATGTTAACTGGATCAGGTCAATTTGTTTTCTCTTCCCTCACTTTATCAATAACTCAAATTAAAAATGAAAATCATGCTAAAATAAAAATAAAAATTCCATCACCTTCTGTGTGGCATGAACTTTGCGAAAATCAAAATAGCATGGGAGCCAAATAACAGTTACTAGAGTGCGTGTAATTCCTTCACAGATCATAGTAAAAATCGTTAGTATTATGTCGATGACAAAATAATTCTGCAAAACGGCATATTACCCATAAAAAAAAATTGATATCCACTTCACAGTGGTTACTGTGCATTTGAAACCATGGTGAGTTGCCGCCACTCAAACGCACAGTCAAGGCAAAGTGAACACAAACACACTTAATGAAATGCTTCTTACTGACTGAGTTCAAATCAAACTGTATTCTTGCGTGTTTGGAAAACCATTAGAGAAATCTCAAAGGTAGAACAACGGCTGCACTTGAGATCTCTTTTAACATATTTTCAAACCTGCATTTCATTGGCTTCAAAAATTTCAAGAGAAAGGCTATTCATAAGTTAAGATAAAACAGAGCTATGCAAACAGAATAAGTAACAAAGAAGGGTTTTCATGAGTAGAGACACTTAAATGTCAGATTTTACAATAGAAGTGGGTATTTCACCCGATATACAGCGGCTCAAATACACAGATCTACCAACTTTTTTTGCGATTTTATTTTTCTAATTTCTTTTTTTTTTAACTTAGTGAGTACTCTGTCCATTCTCAAGACCTAACCCGTACAATACCCCTGCATATCTCTCCAAAGATCCACTAAAGAAATTCTCTTTCAATTTCATGAATGTACACGATGTGAGCAAACTGTCGGAACCTGCTTGATGACAAATCCCTACCCTCTCGACCTCCAACAACTCCGCAAGCTTGTTCAACCCTCCATGAAGACTATTGCAAAACTTCATCAAATGTTTGATATCATACACAGTAGGGAAATACATGTTGATCAAATTAAAGAACCCAACTTGAGTATCTGGCAAATTCTGACATGTCAATAACTTCAACAAATAACCAAAATCATACCCACTGTGAAAAGTTACCCAATGAACACTATCATTCAAAACAATCCCAGAAGACATCAAAAGCTCACCGAATCTCCGAGCATCAATACCGTTCTCGTTATTCTTCTCGAAATCAATCCCACACTGTCTCAAAAGCTCTATCGAATCATTTGCAAAAATATCCTCATTCACATTGAATTCTCTGAAATTGAATTGCCAGATACAGAACTTATCATCGTCATCGTCGCGGAAAGTTGGAAGGTTCCCGTGCTCATCGGAGAAAGTGAGACCCAATTGAATGAGCTTGAGCATGTCGACGTTGTCTTTTAGGGTTTGATAATGAAAATCGTAACTGTTTTTGAAACTACCAACAGGACGAAGAACAATTCCAGGGAACTCCGTGTCCATGGCTATGTAAGGATAAGCATCGACGATTTCCCGAATTAAAGCGAACTCTGCTTCAAGATTATCGTTCCACACTTCGCGAATCTGAATCGAATCGCTTTGCGGTAAACCTAGCTGCATCACAATCTTCTTACCATAAAATAATGAAAAATTCACCGGATCTGTTGAATACCAAAATGAATTAGCATCAAGAACATGCGATTGCATATAACAAGATTGAAAATTGATGAAAAATAAATGAAGATTAAAAGAATTAATTGGGAATGGATTCGAACCTTGAAAATTAGAAATTGAAAAGTAGAAATCGGAAATTGGAAATTTGAATTGAATGAGGGAAAGATTGGAAAGTGTTGAGAGAGAGAATGGGGGAAGATAGAAGGAAGAGATTTTTTGTGTATGAAATCTCTCCCGTTCTAGGGTTTTCTTTTTTGTTTTATTTTATTGGTTATAAAATGGAAGAAAAGAGGACGAGGAAGATATTTTGACGAAAATCAGACGTGGAATTTGTTTTTCTTTTCTTGCTTTGCGTGTTGCCTAATTTCCTTTTATTTTATTTTATAAAATAATAAAATAGTTCTCACACGATTGTTGTATGACTTGTTCCCATTTTTTTTTTAGAATAATTCAATTTTTTTTTTTTAAATTCTAAAATACTTAAGTTATTTTTCAAAATATTCCACTTTGAGAGTGTTGTAGAGAGTTGTCTTTAGATGAACTGGCGATAATTTTATAGATTTTAGAGGCGTCGTCAATTAGATTGGAGACACCTTATGGTGATGTCAATTCAATTGGCGACTGAGTGTTAATATTAAAAGGGAGGCACCAATTGATATGGAAACAAGGTGCATTATGTAAAAAATTTAAAGAAAAATAAATAATATTAATCATTAATTAAAAATAATATTACATAATCATTAATTAAAACTAATATTACATAAAGTAATGTTGGCGACCGGGTTGGTCATACCGACCATCGGTTCCACATCCCATAAGCACTCTCACTCGTTGCACTCGTCCCTCTCATTGTTGCTTCACTCCAGATGTTTAAGAAGTTGAAGTCTCAAGAACATCCACAGTTGATTCCGTAAAAATTTCTTGCATTTTCATTAGGTCTTGTGTGTTGAAATTGAGCGTGCGACCCATGTCAGAGTAGTTCGATGTGATGAAGGGGGTCACTAGTGTGTGGCTGGACGATTGAAGGGGCACATTGGTGTGAAGGATTCGTTGGTGAAAGGTTGAAATGGTAGTGGTGTTTGAATTTCATAAGGTTGTTGGGATGTTTGTGTGTGTAGGCTAAGGTATGATGTATGGGCGTTTTGGCTATGGAAAGATGTTTGAGCGTTTGGGCTACGGTATGATGTACCTTCATTTTGACTATATCTTGATGTTGTGTTAGGGGCATAGCCATATTGGGTTTCTCGATAATAATCATTTTGTTGGATATGGTATGTGAGACGCTTTTTGTATTTTGGTTGGGTATTTGGCATGTTTGGATGGTGGATTTGTGGGTTTGTGGGTTGGAAATTTTGTTGGATAGGGGGTTTTGAGTAACATGGGCGATAATTTCCCTGTGGGTTAGACGCTAAAGCTTCTTATGTGTAAGTAGTTTGTCGTGGATCGTATAGATACATATCTTCGGAGACAAACTCGGTTGCAACTGATCTGTACCAAGCCATATAATTATTAGTCGGTATAAAAAGGGTTGCCATCAACGGGACACAACCGAAAAAAATGTCTCAATGTCAGAGCAACCTCTGTATCATGATTTAGTTTATCCTTTCAATTGTTGTGACTTACTATTTTCATATATTAATGAGTCTTTGTTACAACAACGTTAACAACAAACAACACATACCGCGGACTAATAACAGACAACACATACGACACATAAAACTGATAATGGAAAATAAACTTAAAACATTTATAACTGATTACAACAATCAAACTAATGTTATTTAGTCTAAACATGACTTCCTTCGCATCTTTGTCAGTCTTAACGCAAACCCATCCATGCAAGCAATCAAGTCTCTTAATACTTCAAAATTTTCCCCTTTCACTGATGTCTCTTTCTAACCACCGATTCACCTCCTATTAAGTTGATTGAAACTTTGAATATTCCAAAACAGCATGTCTATCAGAGACTTCTCTCTCAAATAGATGACTTTTTCCCACCGCCGACGATACATTTTTTCAGTAACTCAAAGATATGAGATGAGTTATGGAACTAAATGATCAGAACATCTCTATTTATAGGAAAAAAAATACACTTTCAAAGTTGTATCCAGATGAATTGGTGACACCCTTGTAAGTATTATACTGGGTCGCCAATTAGATTAGCAACACCATATGTTGTCTCCAATCCAATTGGCAACAACACATTGTCCTGGTAAAGGGTCGCCAATCCACGTGGCACCACAATACAATCAGTTCCCCGAAGTGTGGTACTTTGGGAAATAACTTAAAATATATGGTATTTTGAGAATTTCTTTGAAAACCTAGGTTATTCTGGTAAAAAATTCACATGTTTCTTCCTGATTCTTTTAATTTTTTTTTTAGTTTCATCTAACATACACGGTGATTGAAGTCGTTTTGTCACCCCAAGTCACTTGCATTTATATACAAACCTAAAATGTCATGTTCTTATTAGAGGAAATTACAATCCCCTTTCTGAGAGATATTCATATTACATTATCCTCTCATTTCGTGTTAAAATATACATTTTTTTCACCTTTTATGCAAAATATATTATATTCTCGTCCCCTAATAGATACTCATATTATAATATTATTCACTCTTGTTTTAAAATAAACATTTTCATCTCCTCTTACGTAAAATATGTTATATTTCTCTCTTTTGAGAGATGTTCATCTTACATAGGGATAGAAATAGGTCAGGTCGGCCTACATGAGCATATAGCCTAGCATTTTAAGGTATGTCCTAACCTAACTTATTTAACAAAAAGGCTAGGTCTAGGGTTTTTTAAGGTCCATTTAATCAAATGGGAAGTAAGGCTAGTGTCTCAAAAATTGGAAATTTCTTATTGCACCACATGTATTTCTTTCTCACTGTGTGATTTTCCACATATGCCCCCAGATTCCGGAGATATATCTCTGGACGCGCCCCATGACTGACTAATTTTTCGGAGATATATCTCTGGAACAATTTAAACCTTAAATTGTTGCAGCATATCTCTCATAGCTCGTTTCCATTTGAATATTTCTCTATATGCATCTATGGGAAATTTTTGGAGATACATCTCTGAAGTGTATCAGAACCATTTTTTTTTAAACGTATTGTGTATTTGTTCGCAAATGAATTATAAAATAACAGACAAACCAAAATAACATAACAATATAGTAATAGGATGTCATATGTCACGTAAATCCAAAATGTAATAACAATGTCAAGAAAAATGTACAAACTATAATATTAAAACAAAATAAATACAAACAACTACTCGGTGTGCTTGATAGTCTCTCCTCTACCTCATATGTCTTCTCAGCTAATGATCACCTCATGTCCTCACGCGATGTCTGTGGTACAAAAGTGTCACACGTGCCTCCGCAATAATGTCATCTAGTACTCATATGACAGCAGACCCCTCAGGGAAGATACCCTCGTCAAAGTCTACCTGTGCCATCTCCATTATGCGATGACAACGAGGCAAGACATCCTCACCATCTAGAATCTCCTGATGAACGGGTCTCGACAAATATCCTGGGGAAGTCGGCACCACGTACGAATGTGAGTCTCTGAAGAATCATCTTATGTATTCGTCGACGTAGCTCTAGACATTCAGCGTTATGTAGCCCAAGCCTCATCAGGTACCAGATGACTCTGATAATTAGCAAACATCTCCCCTGTATGAATACGAGTCAAGGCAGGAGGAGCAGAGACAACAGGGTGTCCAGGGATGGTCTGGGTGTACTTGAACTGCCGCATGACGTACTCGAGAATATGAGGAGCAGTGATACTCAATCCACAAGCCAGCCAGCCGGAGTATACCGATATGTCGTTTATAAGAATACTCAAATATTTATCAAAAACTCAAAAAACTTACCCGAATAATATGATTTGGAAGATGTTGAATAATGGACTAGATGTTGCTTGATGATTACTTGAGCCTCAAACAGATGAAATCAAATTTGGTGAAGTTGAAGATATTTGGGAATGAGAGAGATGAAGATGTTTGTGAATGAAAATGAAAAAGTAAGTGAGGAGAAAAGTCTGACGCGGTAATATGCTCTAAATTGTTTCAGAGATATATCTCTGGAATATTTTAACGTTCAATTGAATTTTGGTACGTTCGGAGATATATCTCCGAAATTTATGGGGTATATAAGGAAACTCATATGGTGCAAAAAGAAATTCTCTAAAAATTTATCATAGGACTCAAGCCTTTTAAGGCTTAGTCTACCCTGCCATATTCCCACCCCTAATTTTACACTATTTTCCCTTTTTTTTTTGGGAGGGAGGGGGGTCCTTATTAATCTAGTTACCAGATTTTACATACCCTTTAAAGGTGAATAAGTAGGATGTTGTGAGTTTGAATATGCACTCATGCAATCACATGCCTCTTAAAGGTGAACAAATTATACATTCACATCTCTTTTTCGACAAAACATATTGGAAAAAACTACATTTTCCCTTAAAAATTGAATAAATTATATCATCATTCCTTTTTAGATTAAAATCTATATTTTCATCCTTCTTTTAACAACCACTATTTAATCTCTTTTATAGTCTAATTTAATATATTAAATTTTTTATAAAAGAACCCTCTTAAAACTACTTGATTCTTTGCCAGCCTGGTTTGTTCGTGAGAGAACTTGCTTAGTTTGTCACTTCTAATATTTGCCTCATATACAACCCTTAGGTCTGTCTTCATATTGATAAGAAGTTTCTCATACAACTGTTATGGCTCCTCTTCAACGTTCATTAAGATGATTAGTCCTTCTAAATTATGGAATGTCCTTATTGCGACAGTGTATACAACTGATAAATTCTATTCTTCTCCATGGTCAGAATGTCTCTACTATTAGCTACTCTAATTATTTCACTCCTTCACATTTACAGGTTTTCTTCTTTCTATCTTTTTTCCTTATATATGATTTTGTCTT